ACCTGAAGCACTTGCTGCAGAAGGTCAGGGACTGCAGCCTTCAATATGGACTGAACATCAAAAAAACAAAGATTATCACCACTGGGCCAATAGGAAGCATCATGACAGATGGTGAAGAGATTGAGATTGTTAACAGCTTTAGTTTGCTTGGCTCCACAATCAACACTCTTGGTACCAACAGCCAGGAAATCAAAACATGAATTGCATTGGGAAAGACTGATGTCAGGGACCTCTCCAGAGTACTGAAGAACAGTGATGTCATTCTGGACACTAAGGTGTGCCTGATACAGGCCATGGCCTTTGCAATTATGTGCAATGCATCAGAAAGCTGGACAATGACTAGGGATGATAGAAGGAGAATTGATGCCTTTGAGCTGTGGTGCTGGAGAAGAGTATTGAATATACCATGGACCGCTAGGACAACAAACAAATTCATCCAGGAGAGGGTGAAACCAAGCTGCTCCATGGAGACAAATATTTTGAGACTTGGAGGCTAGAATTCTGAAGCTCAGTCTGACATTCTTTGATCATGTTGCAAGAAGACCTTCTTTTTTTTTCTTCTTAATTTATTATTCATTTCAATGAAAATTTATAGAGACTTTGGATTTCGATTCATTCATTGTTGCACTTTTCTCCCCTCCCAACCCTCCTCCCCAGTACACTACCCTCTGGGAAAAGTAAAAGAAAAATTCTTTCATTGTTTTACAATCCCTCCCCCCAGGTCTACCCCACTATGCAGCCTTCGCTCTGGACTCCTGTCATGACAAAAATACCTAATCACATATTACTTTTAAATCGTTTTCTCCCTCATCTGTTTCAATGCACTATACATTATTAAACCCATCTTTGTCAGTCTCCCCCCAACCCCGATGTCAGTCCTGTTTTACAACAGTGGCACCATGCAGTATTTGTCCTTTTGTGACTGAGATACTTCACTCAGCATAATGTCCTCCAGGTTCACCCATTTTTAATAATATTGCATGAGTTCCTTGTTTTTTCAATGCAGCATAGTATTCCATTGTGTGAATATACCACAGCTTCTCTGTCCATTCATTTGTTGATGGGCACTTAGGTTGTTTCCAACTCCTTGCTATTGTGAACAAAGCACGGGTGTGCATATATCTGCTTGGATGTCAGTTATGGTCTCTTTGGGGTATATTCCCAGTAGTGGAATTGCTGGGTCAAATAGTATCTCTATTTGCAACTTTTTGAGAAAGCGCCATACCGCCTTCCATAGTGGTTGCACCAGCAAGAAGACTTTCAATGAGATGAATTGGCTCAGTGACTGGGGTAATGGAGTGGGTGTGTCAGAGATAGTAAAGTCGGCTCAGGAGAGAGCAGGGTTCAGAGCTGTTGTGCATAGGGTTGCTATGAGGCTCAGGTGACTTGACCACACGTAGCAACAACAACATCTGCCACTTTGTCATATTCATTCTACTTTTCCTAGCTCTTATTCCTTTTATTGATAATTATTGGAAACCCCTTAAAAATGGACCCATTTTCTATTCTTTGTGAGACCTAGGCCTAGCATTGTTAAATAAGTTAGGAAAATGTAGCACTGTGGGATGAGTAGAGAGAAGAGTAAGGATGCCCCCTAGTCAGTCTCCTCCTTACCCAGTGGAGGGATCACCTTTAAGACAGGTATCTCTACATATAAATGAGGCCCCAGTTTTCATGGTGCCAGGGCTTCAGCTGTGGGTCAGTCATTCCTCATGCTTATTGTCCAATTAGCGTGTGGTCCTCACTGAACTTATTCTCATAAAAACTACACTAACACTGATACTGTGCTCACTATATACTAAGTACTGTTCTAGGTCCTTAATGTACACTAACTAATTTTGTTTTCACAATTTTTTTTTTACTTAAATGTTCATATTAGTCTCATTTTACACATGAGAAATCTGAAACTCAGATCATAAAGCTAGTAAATGGAAATGCTTACATTTGAACCTAGGCAATCTGTCTTCAGAATCTGTTTTGTTTTGGTTTTTGCCTTCTGAATTTTGGTTTGCTGCTGGCTTTGATAATCTATTTAGCAAAACATACACTCTATCCAACAAGTTGTTATATCATTAACAAACTCTCTGTCTATTAAAATTCCTGCCATTCTTTTGAAATGCTCTTATCTGTTCAATCCCATATAGGTAATTCTTTAAAAAGCATAATACTCAAGGCAGATCTTATTTACTAGTTGAGTTAAACTATTGTTCAATTTTAAGATAAATTTCAAGGGATTTTTTTGTTTGTTTGTTTCTTTTTAAAGATTACCTCAGACTGTCATTTCAATCTTCATGGCTCTATGAGACAGTTGTTTACAGAGATAATTTGCCACACATTTGATATCCTCCTCCTTTTTCTGACTCCGCTTCTTCTGTTGCTCTGAGTGAATAAAGACCAATTGTATCTTTGATGACTACTTACAAGCTTTTAAGACTCCAGGAACCATGCAAACTAGGAGATAGAACATTAATACTAAACATGTTATTAGGCCAATTAACTGGGATGTTCCATGAAATCATGACCTTAAACCTCCAATCTAAGGAACCAAATCCCATGAGGTACTTAAGTGTACATAAGCAGCCTTAATAGCGGTTCTCTTTCTCTCTCCGTCATTTTTGCAAATATATTTGTCACACAACTTTGCCAATTCTACAGTGTAAAAGTTTACAACTTATTGGCAGCAATTACAACAATCAGTAGTGCAACCCTACCCTTAGTTAATGCCATAGTTCTATTACTGTTAGTTCCTCCTTTCAATCTCTGTTTTAAACCTTTCAACCAATGTTTTAAATGCTAGATTGGATTAAATAAGTGAATGTTAGCCTTCCCCCCGCCAAAAAAAGCAACAAGATTAGCCTAGTGTTAAGGAGTTATACTGCCAACCCAAAAGCAAGCAGTTCAAATCTGCCAGCTGCTCCATAAGAGAAAGGAAGGGGGGCAGTCTTCTCCCATGCAATTTAGAGCCTCTGAAAAGCCACTGGAGACTCATATGGTTCTGTCTTGACAGCATATAACAATAACAAAAGCTTGTATGAAGCCTGATACATAAGTGAACTGATAGTGAATCTGTATCTCTTGAACGGAATTCAGACTCTCATTCCACTACTTCTTTCCTGCTCTCAGCCTCACTCAAGGCATAGGGTTTGAATAAAAACCACCAGCCTAGATAGACTCTAAGGAACCTTCTGCACGTGTTCCTTCCTCTGGATATATTGGCTTTATGCTCCCCATTAGCCTGTATACCCTGTCTCAGAAACAGTAAGACTGGGCTATTAATCATCCTCAGCAGTCTTTGGAGAATTTGTTTGAATGGCTGCAGAAACATAGGTTGCTGTTAGAGATGCATTTCAATGTCTGTCTCTGCTGAGGGTTTATTAATAATCTTGCTAATCCCCACTCTAGTTCCGGATCTAGCTAACGCCTGTCAGATGTCCTTGGGGGGCATTTTCAATTCTCCCTGATTTCTTGGAGCCAGACACTTCCTTCTGCCTGGATTCCTTTATGATACTTATATTCATGAATATTTCACATTTAATCTCCCCTATTACATTACTGTGTTATGGTCATGGTGTGTTGGCGCATTTCTCAAGGAAGACAAATATGAAATCCACAGTAAAGCTTTCTGTTTGCCTGTGATTCAGGCACTATGATGCTGGACTTTTTCTGAGCAGAGACTCCTGCCTATTTCCACAGCCACCATGTGTAAGGAATGGTCATCAGAACAGATGGGGATCCAGATTCTCTCCGCAGAAACTCACTTGTCATTTTGTCAATAGATTCTATGCAGGGTCTTGTGCTCTGGATGGCCCAATGGGACCTTTCTTTCCCAGACATTAGGAACTGAAGTTAGTGTAATGACTATGGGTTACCAAGAACTACTGAGATCCTTGAACTTGACATTGTAGGCCAGTATCATAGGGCATTATACTTTCCTGTCCATCTATGCATCTCCAAAGGCAGAAAAAGCAGCAGCTTTGGATGCTGCTGTCTTTAATTCCTGTACCTTAAGCCTACCTACCATAGTGTGATGCTTAGTTAAAATGGATAGCAATACCTAAATTACTTTCTAAAAAGAATGCAAATGACTCAGCTTTTTTCAGCCTTCCATGAGAATGGGTCAAGGACCTGAATCTTGGAGCAGAGATCTGGGATGTTTTAGAAGGAAAGATAAGGCTTGGTTAGGATCTTCTGATCAGTATAGGGTTCAGCCAGTGGAGGAAATGAGTGAGAAGAAAGATGGTGAGGAAGATGGAGAAGGCTGCAGATCTTGGACAATAATACACAAACGCATGCTTTCCTTCCTTCATTTCTCATACTTTGCCTTCAAGCCTCATGACTCTGGATAGCATAGGACTAATTGACTATCTGCTTATTTGCCATTATTTGTCATTTGCCATGCCTAGCCAACCCATTAGATTCTTCTAGATGCTCCACTTTAGTACTCATCTATGAAACTGAAAGTCCTCCCTGGAAGTCTGTATCATCCAGTCACTGCAGCCTTTAGTCTGACCTGGCTTAACCAGTCAGTCACCTGGATCTTGGACAGGAACAACCAGTGAGGGAGAAGACCTAGCTCAAATAAGACTTACTGTGACCTCGATCCAGACTTCAAGCAATCATAACCTAAGAAAGGCCTTTCCAAACAAGTACACATGAAAAGTCCTGAAGATCATGGCAACTAGTATGGGCATTAGATCCTAAGAGGCAGTCCTGTGGGTTTAAGACATAACAGTAAGTTTTCTGGAGGAGGCTGGGCCACATAGGTATTTGAAGACAGACACCTAATTGGGTGTAAGTGAGGATCCTTGGCTCTTATACACACTCAGTATCTTCTTCCCATCATGATAGCTCTAGCCCTCTTCTCCATCCCTTGCTGGCTAAAAAGGACAAATTACTCCTATAGTTCTTTAAAGCACTGGTGGGAAAATCCACTTCAGGACTGATAGCAGTCCCCTTTGTTCACTTACTAACAATTCCATCTCTGCGCTTTCTCCCCACAGGACCCAACTGCAGCTTCCATCTCAGACGGAGACTGTGACGCCCGGGAGGGTGAGTCAGTAGCCATGAATTACAAACCATCCCCGCTCCAAGTGAAGCTGGGTGAGTGTGTCCGGGGAGTGAGGGAGACGTGGGTAGTGGACAAGGCACACTAGGCTGGGTCTGCAATGAAGTGCCACAGAGAAACAACTTGGGTTAGATGATCCAAGACTCAAGCCACCAAGTCACGGGCAGTGCCAAGAGCCTTTATCTCCTGTAAGGCAGAGAGGCAATCAGTGTTCTCTGTAGGAGTCTAGTATTCTTGGGGGCATCTCTAACACCAAGAAGCTCAAGATGATATTACAAGAGAAACCACAGGAGTAGTGTGGAGCTTGGAAATGCCATCAAACACTGGATCGGGCTGGCAGAAAGCTGCCTTACAGGTAGGATGTCAGTTAATAGACCTCAAGGATAGAAAAGAATGAGCGTGCATTGCAACAAATTATAGCAAATGTGCATAAACTATTGAATGGAAAACTAATTTTCTCAGAAAACTTTCACCTAAACTACAAAATTAAATTAATAAAGGGAATAATTTTGGGGGTAGAGGGGGTGAGAACAAGAAATGAAGGAGTGAAGGTTTCAAAGCCCCAAAGCTGTTATCCTTGGACATCAGACTCTAGCTTCAAATTATTTGTCATTTTTTAATTTAGCAACACAAGGGATTTAATCGGTGTGAATTCTCCTTTGTTCCTCTCTTATCATTCATTTTCCTAGTTCTATTTTACATTTTTACTTCTATAGTATCATATTCTACACAACTTTCTGAAATATGGGTCATTGTGTTTGGGTTGGTTTTTACCCTTCAGTTAGTTTCTTGGAGCCCCTTCCAATGCCAATCAATACATGGAGAAACACTGCATTCTTTTAAGTGGTTGCATCAACTCAAACTCAGCTCATCAGAACCAATTAATAGCTGACCTTCCAGTGGGTTTTCTGAGACTGTAAATTTTATGGAAGGAGATTGCCCATCTTTCTCTCTCAGAACAGCTGGTGGATTCAAACCAACTGTCATTGAGTTGGTAGCGCAACTCCCTATCCAGGACTCCATTAAGAGGTTGCATGGTATTGTTGTGTGCTGTTAAGTCAGAACCAACCCATAGCGGTTTATCAGCAGTAAACCAGCAGTTTATCAGAGGTAGTAAATAATTTAAGAGGAAATTGCCCATCTTTCTCCCACAGAGCAGCTGGCAGATTTGAACCTCTTGCCTTTGGGTTGGCTGTGCAACTCCTTACCATTAAGGCCACCAGAGCATCATCATCTATAATTTGGTTTCGTCCATTTATTGTCTATACTTTTGCATTATTTCAAATAATGACAGAATGCTTTAAAAAGTAACATTTCCCTATCATTACATTACCAGCGAGACAAGGTTGTGAAAATTCACAACTTTGAGAGGGAGGAAAAAAATTTTTATTGTATTATTTTTACGTGTACCGTCAAATCAGATCTGACTGGTACAGGAGGAGGTTGCCTCCTCCTTCTCCAGCAGTGCATCTGGTGGATTTGAACCGTGTACCTCTGCAATTGCAGTGCAGCGAAAAAAAATTTTAAAAAACCCCACATACACTTCACCACCACCACGAACTTTAAGGCAAATTGCACCCTCTGGAGGCTTGGTGTGGTAATGGCAGCTGCTGCTCTCAGGAAAGCAGCTGAACTACTCCAGGGAGTGAAACAGGCTTAAGGGTCAGGGACAGGCAGAAACTAGGAGATGTGACATCCGGAGACCTTAGAGTCAGAAAAAATTACAAAGTGAGGCACTATAAATTAAATGTATTTATGAGATAGTGTTCCCCTGGCCTCCTTCTCAACCCTTTTTCTCAAAACTCAAAGTTCCAGATCAGAATTTTACTTGAGATGAACAGGAAAGGACAAATGGGCCTCCTCCAGCATCTGTGTATCCAATGCTGGGAACATATGCTGAAGGCAGGGAGTACAGGATTCCAGCATCCATGAACTTCTTCTGTAAAATCTTCTCCCCTATGTGTTCAGTACTACACCAGGCAGTGGGCCATCTAAGGGCCAAGCCCATGAACCTGGTAGATTTGGAACCTAGGAGAACTCAGGGGCTGACAGAGCAGTCATGAGCATCCTCAGATAGTAAAGCCTGACGGGCTCCCCATAGCCTCATGTCTCCTACCTAGTTTCCTTTGACCAATTCCACTCCATAGCCTGTAGTGGCTCTATTTTGTCTTCAGCTTTAATTCCAAACTCTGACATTCAGGGTCTTCACACTGTGAGATTATAACCAGATGGAGTCCCCAGCCTATTAGCATAGAACTTGGCACATAGTGATACAGCATTTACCAAATGTATAAGTGACTGAGTAAATGGATCCAATTTCCCTCACTCTTTACCCTTCTATCCTATCCAGATCCACACTTATTAGTCATCATTTCCTCATTGTCTTTGAGGCAGAACCAACTTACAGCTGATTCTCCAGTAGATTTCTGAGGCTATTGATCATAAGAAAGGAGATAGTCCATCTTTCTTCCCTGGAACACAACTAGTGGATTCAAACATCCAGAGAGGTACAGCCATTTAGTTAGCCCCACAACTCCCTACAAACTATACCACCAGAGCTCCCTACACTTATTATGGTCACTTCTAAATGCATTTTTTAGCACACTTCTTCCTAAAAGGCATGGTACTACCTGCAGGAAGTTGTCCCTTACTGTTCCATCCCTCCATGATCATATCTTCCACCCCAGCCTTTCCCTGGTATCAAATACACACTAACTACCCTGCATAGGACTTGTGGCTCCTGGAAAGACAGAAGTCAATTTCCTTTTGCTTCCAACTATGTGGTTCAGGATGTCCAGGGTCAAGTACTGTTTTCATAGTACAGTGGGGTCTGGAGTTGAGGTTCACAGCCTCAGTCCCTAAAGAAGTAAAGGGTTTCATAATGGAAGCCTATCTGAGGCTACCCCTAGCTGTAGGTAGGGTGGCCCTGGAGGCAGGACACAGCTTCCTTCCCATGTCCCCCTGCAGAAAAGCAGCGAGAGCTGGCTCGGAAGGGCTCCTTGAAGAATGGCAGCATGGGTAGTCCTATCAACCAGCAGCCTAAGAAGAACAACGTCATGGCCCGGACCAGGTAGACGGCCTCTCCACCACACCTGGGCCAGTCGGTCAACACCTATTGTTGGTCCAACCTCTCTTGGTTTTGAGCTTCCTTCTCTTCCCTCCTTCCTTATTCCCAGCTCCTCTCTAAAAGGAAGGAGCCTCAACAGGATCCAAAGAGGGGGTGGGAGGGAGGCACATGTCAAGAGTGGAGCCCATCCCAGTTCCCTACTAGCCATGTGTGCTCCAGTTGCCACTCCAACCCCAAAAATTCTCTATTCAGGCTCGTCGTCCCCAATAAAGGCTACTCCTCGCTTGACCAGAGCCCAGATGAGAAGCCACTGGTAGCACTTGACACGGACAGGTGTGTACTGGGGCCTGGGGGGCAGCCTGAGCAAGGCAGAAACTTATGTGAGCACAAGCAGGCTGTACAGGCCACGCCTGTTGTACTGTGGGAACTGGGGATTTCTCCTGACAGCTAGGGGTTCTTCAAGGGTCAATTCCCTCAAAAAATGATATTTTTAACCTGGAGAAGGGGGAAGCACAGAGAGGAAGAGCTGGGGGATGTAGTGTGGATGCTCTAAGCCCCATCCTGGAAAACTGGGCCCAGTCACTGCCCTCTATGTGGACCCAGTTGTCATCCCTGAACACCAGGATGCTGTCTTTAATGCTCCAACCCCTCTATGAGAAGGCCGCTGTTTGCTAGGTTAGATCTAGACTTCAGGAAAACTCAGCACCCAGACAATTTGAAACTAGAAAAAAGGGAGGGACAGAAGAAATGGCAGCTCTATTTAGAAGGGGGTTAACAGTGGCCATTTATTTTAATGGCAGGTTAGGAAACCTGTCTTAAAACTGTGTCTGCACAGCTAGTATCTTGTTTATTTGAGATCGTGAGTGTGGGGTGAGGTAGTGACTAATGGGAGAGGGTGTAGGGAATTTTCTTCTTCGTTTTCCTAAATCACCTCTTCACTGTCCTCCTTCCTTCACACTAGCGATGACGACTTTGACATGTCCAGATATTCTTCCTCTGGTTACTCCTCTGCTGAGGTGAGGCCCCACCCCTGCCCACCCTACCTGAGAAGGACCACCTCTATCCAGGAGAAGGGGTGGGGCCAATGCCAAATCACATCCTGAGAGGAGAAATAGGTAGGCTTAGGGAGCCAGGTAGAGAGGGGCCTAAAATGGTTCGGAGAGGCTGGAAGAGGATGTCTGAAAGGTGAGATTCAGAAGCCTGGGATGGGGAGGTTTTGAGGTGGTGCTGGGGTGTGATTGGAGCAGAAGCTGAAGCGAGAAGCTGACCTGGGAACTGAATGGAATGGGATAGGCTGCCTTGTAAGGAAGTGAGGCCTGAGCTGAGGGTGGGCCTAAGGAGGGGGGAGAGCTAGGTGGGGCTTACAGGTGCCCTGGCCTGAAGCGGGGCACAGGAGAGCTGCAGGAGCCCAACCTCCTCCCCTGCTTTGTCTACAGCAGATCAACCAAGATTTGAACATCCAACTGCTGAAGGACGGCTACCGGTTAGATGAGATCCCCGACGACGAGGACCTGGACCTCATACCGCCCAAGTCCGTGAACCCTACCTGCATGTGCTGCCAGGCCACGTCCTCCACCGCCTGCCACATCCAGTAGCGTGTGGCGCCGCGGGGGCCGTGGGGGTGGTGCCGGGTGGGGTGGGCCGGGCGGGCAGGGCCGACCCCTCCCCAGCTCCGCCGCTCGCCCCGGCCCAGAGCCCCCTACAGCCGCAACCTCGTAACAGTCATTGCTTCCTCCTATGGTAGGACCTGTACCTCTGTGTGTTCTTGGAGCGGGAGAAACCAAAATCGGGTCCCACTCCACCCCGGGGGCTGAGGAGGGGTGGGGCGATCTGTTCAGTTACTTGGGGGACCCTACCGAACACCCTGTCCTGTCCCCCAAGGCTCTATAGTCTGGTATCGGGAGGGGAAGTTGGGTGGCAGAGAAGCTGACGGTAATGAGAAAGAACCAGATCACAAAGCCAGGGGCTTAGCCCCACCCCAGCAAAGCCATGAACCTGCAGCCCCAGCCTGTTTAGGAAAGGGGTTCGGGTTGGGGTGTGGGGGAGCTCAGAAAGCCCAGATGGTGAGGACTGAGACCAACACCTTGGAACCCCATCCGCTCGCCCCATACAGGCCCATTTACCTATTTGTGGTTCCCCTTAACTCCAAGTGGGAAGTCTGACCTAGCGGCCCAGAGGTATACTGCCCTCCACCTATCTTCTCAAGAGGAGGCCTTTTTACTCCTCTTTGTCCCATTCACCCCTTTCCAAAAGCTTTCTGGGTTGTGGGAGGAGGGTAAGGTCGACCTTCGAGACAGACCAGGATTTGGAGTAATAAGATTGGGCCTCCTTGGCCCCTAACCATCAGTGCTCTGCCCCACTCCATCCTGTGTTTCTGTTCACTGGGCTCTGTCTCAGGCTGCAAGTGGGCATTAAGGTTGGTATGCAAGTTTCATGCCCTTCCCACCCCAGCCCAAGATCCTAGAGGCTGATTCCCAGAAAGGAAGCAGGCTAAACTGAAAGACTGCATGTGTGTGGTAGGCAGAGCCTGGTGGAATGTGTGTGTCTGTTCTCTCTGTTGTGACTATGTCTTTAAGCTCTGTAGCCTCACATGTCTCTTTCTGTCATAGATGTGTCCATGGTGGGGAACTGTCTGTGTGGTCCACTGATAGTGGGAGAGGCTGCTCAGCACTTAAGTGGACTAAGAGCCCTGGACAGGGAGTTAAAAGTCTGGGTTCTGATTCCAGCTCTGACATGTTCCCTGTGATCTTCAACAAGCTGCCTCCTTCCTCTGGGCTTTAGTTTCCTCAGTTTTAGAATGAACAGCAGTGGTGATTTATATATTTCTCTGTGGGAGTTTCTGTGGTGGTGTATGGGGCATTTTCTGTGTGACTCTGAGTACACCTAGAAGGCTCCCTGAGTTTGTATCTCCATGTGGAGAGGGGAGAGTACAGTTTCGAAGTAGATCGGTTTGGAAATACATGTGTCTGTGAATATGCATACATGTATGGGGGTGTCTTTTGTGTGCGTACATGTATGGGTGCCTGTGGTTAGAATGTGTGTACTGCTGTCTCTGCTGTTGGCTTGCAGGTGAGGAGAAAGAACAGTGAAGATAGAAAAGAAGAGGTGATTAGGACCATCCCCTGGGCTGGAACTATATAGATCTGTCCTCATGGGACGGAAATGAAAATGCTATAGCCTGCTAAAGCCTGTGCCCTACCAATTTTGCAGCACAGGGCCAAAGTATATATTCCCCATTCCTCGAAGCTGCCACTCCAACATGTTGGCACATTCATTTTCATATATGCCACTGGGCTCACATGCTGCCACCATGCAGTGGACATACCCACAAGCCCACCTTCTGGATACCAGTGCCAAGAGGGAGAAGAGGGAATATAGGAAGGAGTGAGGCTGATGGCTTAGAAAGGTTAGCATCTCTCCCTGTAACACATTCAGGGGTTGCAGCTCTCCTAGTCCCCTACTCTCTCTATCCATCCCTGCCTCCTCCGAGGCAGGGCCCCTAGTTAGATGAGAAAGTGCCAAAGGAAGCAAGGACAGAGAAAGTACCTACAGGACCCACAAGGTTTCTGCTGACCTCATTTGTGCCCATCCTCCCCACTCCTCTCAGCATCCGTACCCCTCCTCATTTGGGTCCCAGAGCCAGGTCTCCCACTCTACCACCACCACCAAGCTCCTTGACTTACCCTTTTAGAATATGGGTACCTCCTGGTTTTCGGGCAGAGCTCCCATCAGGGTTCACATAAACTGCTGGTTTTGCTGCTCACTTACCATGTAACTGACCCTGTGGAACTAGGGAAAGCTCCTTTCCCAAAGGATAAAACTAGCTCCCTGGCAAAAAAGAGCTTTCGACCAAGGCAGTGTGTGTGTGTGACAGGGAGAGGCAGAACACTTATGGGGCAGCTTTGGGGTCTGGGGAGAGTGCATGGTTCCCTCCTTCCCTGTCAGAGCGGTTGGAGGGGAAGAATCAAGGCCTTAGCTTGCCCCCCTGCCACCCTCCCCCTTGTAGATACTGCCTTAACATTCCCTGTACTCTCAGTAGTGGCTGCCACCCAGCTGGTTTCTCCGTGCTCACTAATTTATTTCCAGGAAGGTGTGTGAAAGACATGAGCCGTGTATAATATTTTTTTTAACATTTCCATTGCAGTATTGACCATCATCCTTGGTTGTGTATTGTGTAACATAAATAATATTAAAAGCATCAAACAAGTCAGCTTCAGCTCCCTGCCTGGGTGCGAGCAAGGGGTGGGGGGGGGGGGGGGTCTGGGAAGGGAAGAGAACTGATCCTCTGAATACATAGCTCACTCTCGCTCCACTCACCAGCTCCCAGGCCAAGGCCTGCCACTGCATGATACTAGGCAAGTCACTTGACCCCTCTAAACTGTTTTCTGAGCAATAAAGTGAGAAGCTCAGCCTGGGAGGTCTCTGTGGGCTGTCTGAACTCTTGAACATTGGTCTTTTGAAAAACTTGAAGTGGGAAGGGAGTGGGAGGGTACAAAGGGAATTGGCTCTCTTTGCCTTCCCAGAGCTAGGGCTTAGGCAAGGTGATATCATAATGAGCAATGCTTATCCTGCAGCAGGAGGCAGGGTAGGGTGGTGGCAGGAAGGCTGTGGGGAAGGGAAGCTGAGGGATCACCCACAAGAGGTAGTCATAGCCTCTGGGGACACCTGCCAGACTGGAAGTGTGGGTTATCTAGAGGAGAGCATAGTCACTGAGGCCCAGCAAGAGCCCACCAAGATATCATCCACCATGTTCCTCTTTTCTGCTAAGACTAAGACCCCCATCAGCACCTACAAGGACTCCTACAGGGCTCCCACTTCCATCAAGGAGGTCTATAAGGATCCAGCACTATGGGCCTGGGAACCCAACAAGTTTGTGACCCGGGTAAGTGGAGATTGGTGGGGAGGGAAGGATAGACCAGAGTAGAAGGCTATGGATATCTAGATGATGGGTGGACTGTAGTTGTCAGTATTACACCCACTACTGTCAAGTTTATTTCAACTCATAGAAACTACATTGGGTTTCTAAGGTGTAGATATTTATAAGAGAAACTGCTCATCTTTCTTCCATTGAGCAACTGGTGGATTCAAACCCTTGACCTTTTGATTAGAAGCCTGACACATTATATACTGTATCACTAGAGCTCACTGCACTTGCCAATCTATGATTCCAATTCCTTGTAGCTTCATATGTATATTAGTATGCATTTTATTTATTTGCCTAGGGACAGAATTTACAATGGTGAATAGGAAAGGACTTCTCCTCACAGAATTACTCGGGCTAGGAGGTTAAGGCAGAGAAATAATGATGTTGTTGTTATGTGCCGTCGAGTCGCCTGCGACTCAATAGATAAAGAATAACAGTATTTTTATAAATTGTCCAAAATTTGTAAAAGAAATAGAGTATTAGAACTAGAAAAAACTGCTTAGCTAGGGAAGTCATGGATGATCTTTATCTTGAGGTGATACTGAGCTGTGACCAGCAAGATAAGAACTAAGTATATGAACAGCTGGGGGAAAATAAAGAGTTCCAGGCAGAGTGCTTATAAAGTGCAAAGGAACTCCACCTATAAAGGTGTATGCTTGTGGGATATGCCAGAAAATGTCTCCTAAGCATGTCTCCTTATTGCTGTCTCCTTGTGCTGGGTGACCAAAGGAGTCTGTGCAGCATCCACAAGTGAGTTTGTGATTCTAAGACTTACCTGTGAGTGTCATCCAGCAAAACTTTGTATCCACATGGGTCTGGCACAATGTAGGCACCCAGGATGTATAATGAAGTGCTGGATCCTGCCGTCAAGGAGCTCTCAGCAAACAGGTGAAAAAGTAAGGTTGCCCAGAGTGGAATTTGACCTAGCTGAAGTGCCAAGAATGGAAGGGTATTTCCGGAACTTAGAACTCAAAAAACAGGCCTGCAGAGTGGCCCAGGGAGAGGAGGCATCCAGCAGAAGGGTTTTGAGAAAGGCAGCCTGGGACCAGGACCCACCATGCACTGTACTGCTAAAACAGGGAGAGAATGGTCTAGAGTAAGAGAGGAGTTGCAGACCACCAAAGGAGCTACAGACCACCAAAGCCGCCTTAGACATCCCAAAGAGCATAGGCCTGAGTCAGGCTTTTGAAGCTGGTGGTGTCATGTTCGGATTGTGAGTTACGCTGCTCTTGCTGTAGTGTCAGGGACTGGAGGAGGGTGGGCTGAGGACAGCAAGCACAGTCATGAGGTGGTTGTTGTCATGTACTGTCGATTCACCTGTGACTCAGAGCGACCCTATGTACAACAGCTCTGCTGTTGAAGCCTGCCCTGTCCTAAGCCAGTCTCACTTACTCCAACACGCCTACCCCCATTGCCCCAGTTACTGTATCAATCCATCACATCCAGATTCTTCCTCTCCTGCATTGTCCCTCCACCCTTCCAAGCATGATGTCCTTCTTTAAAGACTGGTTCCTCCTGGCCAAGTACCCAAAGTATGTGAGACAGAGCTTCAAAATCCTAGCCTCCAAAGAGAAATTTGGTTTCACCTTCTCCAAGACAGACTTTTTTTTTCTTCTCTTGGTGGTCATGGTATGTTCAAGTCTCCTCCAGCACCACAACTCAAAAGCATTGTTTCTTCTTCTGTCATTCTTAGTTATGGTCCAGCTCTCTGATACATAGGAAGTAATTGCCAAGACCATAGCCTAGATCACACCTTAGTCTCTAGACTGACATTGTTGCTTCTCAGTACTCTAGAGAGATCCCTGACAGCAGATTTTTCCAATGCAATTCATCTTTTGATTTCCTGACTGCTGGTGCCAAGAGTGTTGATTGGGAGCCAAGCAAGCTGTAATTGTTAACAACCTCCATCTATCATGGTGCTGCCCAGTGGTGAGAATCTTTTGTCTTCTTGATGTTGAGCTTCAATCCATATTGCAGCCTACATTGATGAGGTAGTGAAGGATAAAAGAGGAGGACGTGAGTGGGAAAGGAGGAAAACCATGACAATTAAAAAAAAACTTTTAAAAATAGGAATATTTATAATGACATACATATATTAATTATAAAATTAATGCATGCCTAATGCAGAAAATGGTGATAATTCCAAAAAGCACAAAGGGAAAAGATCCATAGTAACATAATCCCAAATTACCAAAGTGAACATTTTATGGTATGCCCTTTAAACAAAGTAGATATTATTTCTTACAATAGTAGTATCATACTGAAAGAATATTTTGAATCCTGGACATCATATAACAACAACATAATGTATTTAAACAATCTTACATGATTGGAAATTTAATTATGTTGCAGGAATAATAATTTCTTGTACATGTATCTTTGTAAACATCTCTAACTATTTTTGTACATATCTCTTTGAACATATAAATTCCTGTTGTTGTTATGTGCTGTCAAGTGGGAACCAAGTCATAGCTGACCCTCCAGCACATTTTCAGAGGCTGTGAATCTTGCAGGAGGAGATTACCTATCTTTTCCCCTTAGAGCAGCTGGTCAGTTCAAAGCACATGCCCTTGAGTTGGCAGTGCAACTTTGTACCACTAAGCTAAAAGAGCTCCCTATAAATTCCTAGACATGAAATTTTTGAGAGTAAGGGTACACACATTTTAAAGTTACACCTGAAATTGAGTTATACAGATCTGTAACAATTTATGTTCCTACTAGCAAATTTGAAAGCCCTTGACTGTTCACACCCAGTTCTTATATTCCATCAAGTTGGAACCAACTCATAGCTGACTCCAGCAATTTTTCAGAGGCAATAAATCCCATGGAAGGACATTGTCCATCTCTCTTCCTCAGAGCAACTGATGGATTCTAACCACGTGCTTTGGGGTTGGTAGTACAGCTCCTTACTAGAAGAGAATATTAGAATGTATATTGGCGGTTTTCCCTGGTCTAGCTCTCTCCAGACCAAGGAATCTCGCCTGGGAGTCCCCTTAATAAAGTCGCTGTAAGCTTTCAAAAGAAGAAAGTATATCAACACATCATAGTCACCAACTAAATATGAAAAGGAGGAAATATTAGCCTAATTCCAGGATTTGGAGTCCTGGCAACTGGATGAATAGTAGTGCTTCCAATTGAGATTTGGAATAACATATTAGATATTTGTATTCATCTGGGGGGAAAAAAGTATTGAGGATACCTAGGAAAAGATAACTGGTGAGAGAGGTTGTTAGGTATTACTGAGTTGGCTCCAATTCATAGCAACCCTGTGTACAACAAAAACAAATCCTGCCTGCTCCTGCACCGTCCTCACAATCTCTGCTTACTCCAGCCCATTATTGCATCAATGGACACTCCATCTCCTTGATGGACTTCTTTTATCACTGATGCTCTGCTTGTGCAAGCATAAGTCCTTATTCAGGGACTAGCCCCTCCATAACATGCCCAAAATCTGTAAAATGATGTGTTACCATTCTTGCTTCTTAGGAACACTCCAAGTTCATATCTTTTTTGTTGTTGTTTTGTTTTGTTAACAAATGATCCTTTATTGAAATATTTTCATCTGTAGTTCCTTAGCTAGCTGGGCATTCCACAGCACCACTGTTGATGTCTTCTATGATGTCATGAGGGTGACGGCCATCAACATTGCAGCCCACAGATTGGGCAGTTCCCAGGATCTCTTTAATAATTCCAAAGAGTTCTCTGGATAAAGACCGGTGTCACATCTGCCGGGCAATGCCAACAATCTCATCAAAAGTGATATTTCCACTGTGCTTAATGTTTTTCTGCTTCTTTCTGTCTCTGGGTGGTTCCTTGAGGGCTTTGATGATCAGGGCAGAGGCAGAAGGCACAACTTCAATCTGGGCCTGTCTGTTCTGAATGGTCAGTTTCACTGTAATCCTTAGTCCCTTCCAGTCACTGGTGGCCTTGGTAATGTCATCACCAACCTTTTTTTGGAGACAGACCCAGGGAGCCAATCTTGGGGGCCAGAGCGGAAGTGGCACCGACTTCCCCACCGGTACACCTCAGGTACATGACTTTAATCTCGTTGGGGTCGAACTTGGGTGGCATGGTGGAGGCGGCTGGTGTCGGATGAACCCAGATGCGGGACGACCGAAGAGAGTTGCACCGAGGCCTCCTCCGAGCCAAAAGCCAAAAGCAAGTTCATATCTTTCAAGACAGATTTGTATATTCTTTTGGAAGTCAATTATATATTTGATATTCTTTGCCAACTCCACAATTCAAAAGCAGGAATTCTTTTTCAGTCTAATTCATTATCCAACCTTAACGTGTATATGTCATGGCTTGGTTCAGTCACACCTTAGTCTTCAAAGGAACACTGCTGCTCTTTAACACTTTAAAGAGGTCCTTAGCAGTAGATTTTCCCATTGCAATATATCACCTGAATTTTTTGACTACTGTTGCCGTGGTTGTTGAACCAATATTATTGAAATAATGCCATGGTTGTTGAAATAAAATGCAATATTTAACAACTTCAATCATCTCTCCATTTATCATGATATTGTTTCTTGGTCCAGTTTTAAGAATTTTGTTTTCTTTATGTTGAGGTGTAATCCAGACTGAAAGCTATAATCTTTGAGTTTCACTAATGAGTGCTTCAAGGCTTCTTTGTTTTCTGCAAGCAGGTTATTTCATCTGCTTATCACAGATTATTTTTGAGTCTTCAACCAATCCTGACACCATATTCTTGAGTTATTTTCTCAGCAAAGGGAAGAGTTCCAGTCTACAGGGGCAAATTTTGAATCATCAACATATAGTTGAAGTCACAGAGTAGATTAAATGTCAGGAAAAAAGATAAAATGGCCAAGAACTTTGGAGACTATCAGTATTTAAGTAGAATAGTTAGTTAAGGGGAGCTCTGGTGGCCTAGTGGTAAGAAACAGTACTGCAATCCTGAAGGCATGCAGTTCAAATCCACCAGCAGTCTCCTCCCATGC